AGCACAGGACTCTGCCCCTGCAGGTGCCCGGCTCCCTGTGGTCCCTGCAGAGGGAGCCCAAGGCAGCAGCCTTCTGGAGGGGTGAGGGAGGAACCCGATTTGGTTAGGTCTGGTGAAAACATCCCCTTAGGAAACTGAGGAAGAAATCAGAATTTCAAAATTTGGGGAAAAAAAAACCCCTCAACCCAACCTCTTGCATGTCTAGTAGCTGAACTTTAAAAGTTATGGGACATCCAGAAAGCAGGGAATCTGTAACGTTAGCTTAATCCACCACGTTAGGTTAATGGCATGCACGTTCAGGCACGGGCTGTCAAAGAGCTGTATGACCTTCTCATCTGCTTTCACTAGGACATTACAGCAGCAAATCCAGAAGTTCCAGGGAGAGTGAGTTGCTTTAGTATGTGCTCCTGCAAGGGGCATCACCAGAGTGCCTTGGACACAGCGAGTGAAGGTAATAGGGTTATGACTGCCTCCGCCTACAGTGCTGTGAACAGGCAGGTGTGGAGTAAGGCACATTTGGAAGCATGGAAAAAGTCTTCAAGGCATCAGGTATGCATTTCAGTCATAGCAGAGCAACCTCAGTTTTCAAGCCCCAGGAGAAACACATGGAGAACTGACAAGAGAGGTTTGCCTGAAGGACTTAAAAGTTAATTTTTACAAGCCTGGTGTTTTCTGGGCTGTCCCTTCATCTTAAGCACACCCACAAACACATGGCTCAGCTGGAGTGAGGCATGGTGATTTCTATTCCCAGTGGCACATGGAGTGACCGGCCAAGCACGAGCCACCTTTCGGGCAGTATCCTGCATCCTCACGTGCTCATTTACGGTCATGTTGGCTGAGGGGGTCTTTGGCATGACTTCTCCAGCTAGGCAAGGAGACAGGAGGGCATTTGCCCCCATGCCCCCTGCTCACTCTACGTGCAATTTTACAGGAAACTGTTATCTTAACAAGTTATTTTCAACAAAACATTGAAGGGTGAGAGCAGATGGTTATTCACAGGGATCCCATCATGTCTTCACTGAAATCAATGGGGGTGGTAGGTTTGTGTCCGGTGGAGACAGGAGTCCATAGCGCTAACACAGCACTTCAGACTACTCACGTGATTTACAACAAAAACTAGGTAATCCTCATATGTATTCTGAAAGCCAAGCATTGTCATGGTTCATTTATATTTGAGCAAAATCAGAGGCACAGCAAAGACAGGTGAGATGCCCCAGATCACACGCTGATACAGTGGAAGAAATGCAGAGCATTGCTAAAATGGAACACAGTCTGACTTGGGCACCTAGTCACTTAACTCTAAAGCAAATGCCTAGGGCCCTTAGGTAGTAAAAAAAATAGTTGGTGCCTGCCAGGACCTCCAGAGGAAGATCTGGTACCCCTACATTTAGATATCAACATTAGACCAGACAGGGAATTTAGGCACCTAGTTTGGGAGCACTGCTTTATGAACTGGGGGCAAAGTAGATGAGTCAGCTTGACTTTGCTTGGAGCACCAGTTTTCCTCAGCACTGAATCCAAAGTCCAGTGAAATTAGTTTTAATGTCTATATTCAGTAGATTTTTTGGATGAAGCTCTAGCATCTGCTTGAGACTTAACCTGAAGCCTCTCATGTACAGTTCTCTGTAATGCAGGCCAATTCAGAAGATGCCTGGGGAGATCACTGGGACATGTGTTTGCTGTGAGGCTCAACTGCGGTCCCAAAGTATTCTAGTACGAGAACTTCACCTTATTTTCAATAACTGAGATGATGCAGGCATGTCTTCATTACTATGAAAACTCAGTTCCTCATTATCACAAAGTGCTGATTTCATAGGAATCCAGCTGTGTTGGATTGTCCTATATTGGTGCAAACTAGTAGGGGTGCGAGGGTAAAAGGGAACTCCTGCCTTAAACATAGCATTTTTGTACTGAAACTCTTTGTTCATGTCATGTCACCTCTGTGGCCCTAAGTCCCAGTCAATCAATCACTTGCATCTCCCTAAGCCTGTGTGCAATCCTGTTGATGTTCTTGAGGCTGTACTGGGGCTGTAATTGGTTATACACCCCAGTTCACTCTGGATGCTTAAAATCCTGGTTTTGGGGTTTTTTTGGGTTTTTTTGTGGGTTCCTTCCTAAAAACCACTGGTGAGTTGCAGTACCCCCTGCATGATGAGAGCAGATGATCTTAATGCTTGAAAAACATTTATATTCTATGAATGGGATTCCTGTTTCTAACAAGTTAGATTGGAACAGCTGGTTCCTTATCAAACTTTAAGGGTGCCTGTTAGGGAAAAGGAGTAGCTGAGTCCTGACACTGAAACAGCCTGTTCTTCCCCAGTTTCATGCCATCTCATCTTGATACAGAAGGATTTCTCTTAATTTATGAAGCACAGTGTATTTTAGAGCTTGGGGGCTTTAAGGTGAGTTTGTTGAAAATGTTCCTAAACTGGGAGAGTGGGGGGCACCCCCCGCTGCCTCCTTCATTGTGAATTGCTTCAAATAGGGTGGCCAAAAATCTCCTTCGAGCATCTGACTGGCAGGCGCTGCAGTCAGATACAGAGTGAGCCAGATGTTTTAGACAACATTCTGCAATTTGTTAGCCACTGCAAACTACTTTCCACAACACAATTACTTTCTTGCAGGCACGTTCCTGCAAGAGGTGGAATGGAAAAAACTAGTCCATTTACTATCAGCTTAAGCCCTTGAAAACAGTCTTTAATTAAATCTCTTGTGCCGGTCCCATCTGAGAATCACAGAACGGCAAGGGTTGGAAGGGACCTCAGGAGATCATCCGGTCCAACCCCCCTGCTAAAGCAGGCTCACCCAGAGCAGGGTGCACAGGACATCAGCCAGCTGGGTTTTGAGTATCTCCAGAGAAGGAGACTCCACAACCCCCCTGGGCAGCCTGTGCCAGGGCTCTGTCACCCTCAGAGTAAAGAAGTTCTTCCTCATATTCAACTGAAACCTCTTATGTTTCAGTTTGTACCCATTGCCCCTTGTCCTGTCGCTGGGCACCACTGCAAAGAATCTGGCTCCGTCCTCGTGACTTCCACCCTTAAGATATTTGTATGTGTTGATGAGGGCCCCTCTCAGTTTTCTCTTATTCAGGCTGAACAAGCCCAACTCTTTCAGCCTTTCCTCGTAGGAGAGATGCTCCAGTCCCCTCATCATGCGTGTTAGCCCGTTTCGTAACTTCTGCACGATGCTACTGAGAGCAACGATCGCTTCTGGCAGCGGGCTTGTGCTGTGACTGCTCTATCTGCTGCTTGTACTCAAACCCCATCAGCTGTTCCAGAAATATATGCTGGTTTAATGGTTCCCAGTCATTCATGAATGCTCTCTGGATTCTTATTTTGTAAACATGCCAAGAAAGAGAAGACTTGCCTGCAAGCAAAGAGCCTCAGAAACTCAGTGCAGTCGGGAGCCTGAGCATGGCCTGTGACACAGAGTAAAACAAGTCTCTTGGGTCTAGCAAGTTTATCCAAACCCAGGAATAGTTTGAGCAACTTTATTAATGATAACATTGAACATCTTGTTTAAAGTCTTTGCTGGCAATTAGCTAGACCAAAGAAAGGGACAGGGAGTGGATGCACATATAAACCCATTTTCTGTAAAATAAATACGTAAATGACCTCAACTGCAGAGAAGAGATTATGTTGTGGCTCATGTATGCATCTGTCTCCTGTGAGTCAAGAAACTGGCGTTTAGCTTGGAGTCCAACTCCAAATTCTTTGCTATAAACACTGGGCAAGCCCTTATCAAGCTTCCCGAAGGGACAAACCTCACTAATCCACACACTTGAGAGCTCATTCAAAGCGGCGAACACGGCGCTGGAGGGAGCAACGGGAAACACTGACTGAGGACTTTGGAGTGGCTCTGGATAAAAATGCCTACATGAGTCAGGTGCCTCCCACCCACTGATTTTCCCTGCACTTTGCAGATGCCTATATTGCATGTGAAATTTGGGGTCTGGCTAGTATTTTTGTAAATTTTGTATGCATGAAGCAATGAAGAAGGTGAACTAAGACTAAAGTTATCAAAATAAAGAATCAAGTTACGTTTTACCATAAATGTCTTTATTTTTGTTATTGGAGTTGTGTACTTTTTCATAAAAGTATCGATCTAGCAAAACACTTGAACATGAGTCGAAGTCATTGAAGCCAGCAGGGTCACTCGTGTGGTGAGGATTAAGCACAAATGTGAATGGCAGAGATTAGGTGCTACCGCATACAGTCAATTCACTTGTGATAGGCTTCCCAAGAATTCTAAAATAGTCTAAAACAGGCAAGACCACATGGTATTTTCATGGTAAGTTGGCACGTTTGGACCATAAGCACTTTTGACACTCTTTGCCTGGGGTCATGGTGACCACCACGGGCTTCAGAGGAGCTGGATCCTCAGTGTGTGAGATCTGCTCCTCCTAGGAAATACAGCTCTGAAAAACAGACTCATGCTTTTTTGCAATTAATAGAGTAGCAAATTTTTAGATCTTAGCCTTACAGTAACAGCTTCTAGGAGGAAGGTAGCAATTGAATCAACATGGTTTTGATAATCTTAGAGAAAATTCATTTAAGAAAATCGTAAGGCATTATCCTGCAGTAGATCTGGCCATCACTGACCAGATCTAATCTCAGTTTAGGTCTTAATGCAGTCAGTAGGATTTATCATAATGGATTAACATTTGTATAAAAGGCATACACAAGTCAAGTACAAGTATTGCTAAATTAATTCCTCATACAAAGTATACGAATAATGCACTGTAAACGACTGCTTCTCATAGGTGCTTCAGTTTCCAGGCTTTAATAGTTGCTTGTCATCTTTGGTAAATGCAATATTTTTTCTGTCCTCAGGAGATCCACTACAACAGCTGATCTTTTACAAACCGAGTCCTTCCGTATACTTTGAAGAACAAATGTTTCGTTCAACCAGATCAACGTGTAAACCAAAACAACCGCGTGAACAGTATTTTTTATGCTGCTAACATACAAACGTGCATATGTATGTATATATATATACACGTGTACATATATACGTATATCCACATATGTGAACAGCCGTCCCCCCCTGCCTAGGGAGCACCTAGGCCAACAGATGCATTTAGCATCTGCCCTAAGGCCGTCGACAGGAATGCATGCCAACACCCAGGGGCTGTTTAAAACACACACAGACACATACAACGATGGATTTCTAAAGTGAGCACGAGAATTGTTTTGAACACGACTGAATATGGCCCCGTAAAAAGGAGGAAAGTCTCCAGTAAAACAGAATCGGTCGCGCGGGCACAGTCCCTTCACTTTGAACGTACCTGGTTCCTCCCCATGCTGCTGCAGCTGTGGTCTCGACATTTCTGCCTCAAGCATCAGTATCTGTTTCATGACGCGGCAGTGTATTCTGAAAATCCACTGGCTTAGTCTCAAAAGCTAAACCAGTTTCTGATGCAAAGAAGGTCACTTAAATCCACTGTCTGTCTGCAGGTTTGAAAACTAGTCCAAAATATCCAGAAACCAAATTTTATTACAAATTGCTCTAAGTATTAGTGAAGGATTCAAGGGGGATTTAGAGAGAAGTGGAAGGTGTGTATATACTTGTGTAAGAAAGGTAAGGATTAATCGGTCTTTCTGCGTCAGAGAATGTTCTCCAGTACCATTTCCACATCAAAACTGTTAATAAATCCTGTAAGTTAAATACTCAACGCATCATCTAAATTCATCTGTTTGCAAGGGCAGAACTTCCCCTGACCATATTCTGTAGTGGCTTTTTTATTTATAAATGTCTCTATGAACTCCACAGGGAGACTATTTCGCAGCTTCATGGCTAGAAAGCTTTTCCTGATTGCACTTGCCTCTGTTCCCCTTACTTACATGATTTTCCTTTCCAGCTATTGCCTGTAACTTCTTCTGTTATCACAACTGGTAGGATGTTTTTTTCTAGTTTTTTGCTATCTGTAAAGGAGAGGGATGAACAAGTGTGAGGGACAGTGTACTTGCCAGCAACGTGCTACAGCAAGGATCTGGTGCTCAGTAGTAACATCTCATGCCATTTCATGCCACTTCACGGGTGCAACCATGGCAGAGTAATAGCCATTTTCTCACAGTGGACTTATCTAATTTGTGGCTTGGCAGAAAGTCTCATACTTCAGTCCTCAGAGTAAAGAACTGAAATTTAGGCATGCATCAAAACTGCTCTGATTCTTTAAAGTGGCTGAGCAAGCACTGTTCTCATGGACTTCATTAGGAGAGCGAGGCCACCTGTAAGTAGTTACATACGGATTCTGCAATCCATTTTAACCTCTTAATACTGGCACTTTTGACCAGTGTCCTTTCCCTTCTCTACAGTCGATCGAAAAATGAAACACTTGGCCATGTTCCAGGTAAGAGCTCCACACGTATTCCCTCGCTGAGCACCCTCAGTTACCTTACGGTATTTTTAATACCCTGTGGAGTCCTGGCAGCACCCTAAACCCCTTCTGAGACTTGGAGAAACTGCGCACCTCATCTACACATCTCCCTTGTACTCAGCCCGACCTCTGATTGACCACCAACCCCATCTGACCTCGAGGAGACAACACGAGGGTTGTCCTGGGGCCTTGGGCTGCTCCGGCTGTCACACTCCAGGGTTACATGGACGATGAGACAGGTCTTTCACAGCATACCAGGATCCCCTGCCAGGATCCATCCACAGGGGGATTTTTATCCATACAGAGCAGCCTGGTATTTCTGTCTAAATCAGGCCGGCCGGGCTGCCCCAAACCCATCCCTGACAGTTCTCCAGCAGGTGAGTGAGGTGGTCGTAACCCAGGTACGCTTGTAGCCAGTGAATCCAGTATCAGTGTTGTCTAGAGTCCTAGCAGACAATAAATATTCCACCCTTCGCCAAGTCCTGCAGAGTCCTGAAGACACAGGATGAAGGTACATCACCACTGAATCAATAAAACTATACTTTGGACCAGCCAGTCTCTCTTTAACTTTCTCTAAAACATCTCAATAGAAAACAAGCCATAATCTATAATAAACAGAAAAAAATAGGACAGACTCTTTCACAAAAAATTACACGTTCACAAAATAATTACATCATTTTCTTGTTAATCACTGAATCTGTGTTTATAATTTGGTCAGATCATCCTGTAACCAGTCTGTAATCATGGCAGCCATCTCCTTGCTGGCATCTAGCACAAAGGCGTGGCGGAGCCCCTTCTCACAAAGTCGAATGTCCCCGTCTGGAAAATCCATTTTGATCTCATCGTAGTACTGCTGTGGACACCAGCTGTCTCCAGTTCCATAGTAAAAAATCAGCTAGAAATCAAAGCATATCAAATCATTAATTTGAAAAGTTACTGATGAAGCAACCAATATCCCAACAAAGAGCACTGAATTATTTGGAAATAAGTGATGCTTCATGACCCAAGATACGCTGTGAGGAACAGCAAATTGGTAGCTCTTGGTTGTTCCCAGGTCTGCTGTTACGAGGAAGCCAATTAAATGCTCTGTGACTCAGTTTCCTAAAACTGTGGAACACAGTACAGGCTTAACTCTGAAAAGAGAGATCTGCTGATGAAAGTCTGTCTGTCTTAAGAAATTTGTTACTATGGATCAAAATATGTAGTAGATGGAGTCCACCCCTAACCAGGCAAACTGCTGTGCTTTCCCTAGCTGTTAGCTGTTTTCTGTGTCAGCTTTCTAGCTACTTAATCAAATAGCAAAATTACCAGTAAACTTGATGCTATGTCCCGGCTGAGGGAGCTAACCATTATGGCTTTCTTCTGTATATAAATGAAGAGAAAGTAGGAGGCTACGGCACATTTGTAAGTAGCTCAGTCTTACTGGCATCTGTTAGGTGTGATCTCAAACTATGCGCTCGGATGGGGCCTTAGGTGGGAGGAGCACCTATTTTTCTTAACCTCGGTGTTAGAAGTAAACTAGAGGTGATTCACTTAGTCATGATAGAATAACAGCAATTATGGTCATGCTCAGAAGCAAAACTTTTTTTGTTTGGAGAATTTTATAATCATAGAATCTTAAAATCATAGAATTATAGAATAGTTTGGGTTGGAAGGGAGTTTAGAGATCGTCTAGTTCAACTCCCCTGCAATGGACATCTTCAACCAGATCAGGTTGCTCAGAGCCCCGTCCAGCCTGACCTTGAATGTTTCTAGGGACGGGGCATCTACCACCTCTCTGGGCAACCTGTGCCAGTGTTTCACCACCTTCATCATAAAAAATCTCTTCCTTGTACCTCGCCTGAATCGACACTCTTTTAGTTGAACTGCTACTCCTTGTCCTGTCGCAAGAGGCCCTACTAAAAAGTTTGTCCCCATCTTTCTTACAAGTCCCCCTTAAGTATTGAATGGCTGCAGCAAGGTGTCCCCAGAGCCTTCTCTTCCCCAAGCTGAACACCCCCAACTCTCTACCTTATCTTTGTGAAGTGCTGCACATGCAGAGCACAGGCATCTCCCGGAGATCAATGAGCAGTTTTCTACTGGGTTGTAATGTGAAACTAAAATTCTACCAGAGTCCATTTTGTTTGATCTTGCCCTAATAACGTTGTTCAATGACATACATGAAGCAGGTGCTACAGGGCCCACCTAAACACAAAAGTAATACATTCCAGGCAAATATCATATTCAGTGAAGTATCCTTTCTGTATTTTCCCCCATTCTCATCTCAGCTTTGCATGCTATGTCTCTGTTTCTAAATTTCTATAAAGTATTTGAAGGGAGAGTGGTTGTCTGGAGAGAGTAAAAACCTATGGATTTAAAACTATACAGGGACAAGATTAATGATGAGGACCCTTTATACTAAAATGCTTGAATGCAGGTACCAGAAGGATGTTGATTGCTCAACATATCACACACACAGCTTGGCCCAATCCCATTACTCTCATTTGTTTCATATTTCATTTCTGTACTTCAGTGAATAATTGAGCAATGCTAACATAAATTAAGGGACAAGAAGTTTTCCTTTCATCACAAAAATCTTCAATTCCATCATTTTTGTAGCCATGTGGAATATAAATAAATGCACCCACTGGGGCAGAGGTGGGCTAAGAGCCCAGACTGCATTTCACAAAATGTTACAAGATTTTGTCTAACTCACTTTTGTCTTGTTGAAGCATACCCAAATCTTGGACATTACTGACTCTTGGCTCTATGCAAAATATAATATCTCAGTTGCATAGACACCAACCCAAGTTATACTTCTACGTAAATGTAAAACATAGAACATAAACTATCCCATGTTCACAAACAGTATTGGTTTCCTTTGTCACTTACTAATTGCTGGAAACAAGGTATGCCATTTGCTTTAGCAGAAAATTTCTTTTGATCTTGCCTTTGATTCATAAATCACAGGATGTCACACTAGCAAAAATTCTTCAAAAAAGCCAATGTAAAATGGCCAGCTGCATCCAGGCCTTTTGAACGCCAAACATCTGACTGAATTATGTTTAACCCTGGGCTCTGTTACCAACAGATACAAAAATAAAGATTATGAAACTGAGAAAAAAAGAAATGGAGCAACTCCAGTTTAATGGATTAGTCCTTGAGATTATTAGATATTTTGCTAGGCTAGTCATAGACTCTCATCACACGATCATTTAGAAAAAGATGAAAAGTCATTTACACTTACAAAGGTGGATAAAATGCTTGGCTTAGTCTGCATGAACTGTGAAATGGGCTGTTCTCCAGGTAGGGCTGTAAACTTGAGAACTCACAGATTTGGAAATGCCTAAACAAAAGATTTATGTGCATTCTTAGCTTGCCTCTGGTATATCTGCATTACAGTTTAATCTTTCATTGCATGATCCAAAGGATCCTTGACTCATTCAATCCACTGACAGGGTGATGTTCAGCTGATGAGCTGCTATTTGATAGTATTTTTCATTTTAAATTCTGTGTGTGGTCTGAGGATTTATTTACTATGTATTTCATGCTTTACAGACAGAATTTATTTTCTTATGTATGTGCATTCCTCTTGCATGCACCACTACAGGATTTGCATGCTCACATTTATTAATGTAGTTTTGCAACACCTTAGTGGCCATTTTTATCTCCATTTTGTGGATGGGGAGCACAGAAATGGATGTCAAATTACATACATTCATTTGAAAGTATGCAGTGTAGTCTGAAACACCTAGAGCTGGTTTTCCAGTGTGCGTAACATTACACGGTATTGACTATGCTCAAAGCATAGCACTCCTGGACTTCATTTGCGGGTGCTCTGAAACAATGTCTATCCGTCTGTAAAACAGATTTCAAGGTCTTAAATGAGATATTCAGAAAAGTGAGGACAAACTGTGACCATCTATGAAAACTATTAATGATTTCACCAACAGCCCATTCTTGGAAGTGAAGTTTAGGTGCCTTTACCATGAAGCTATCAATTTTTACTTCGTATAGTTCCCTGTTCCTTCCAACTGGCATTTTACCACTTCTCCCACAAATGAAGTAGGAGTTCTGCATCCTGCTGTCTCCTTCATTACACAGCTCTTTTGGTTAATGAATGAGGAAAAAGGAAAAGCGATGTTTTAATGAAAAACCACAACTTAATGCATACATAAAAAGCGTCTCAATTAAGATTGGTGCCCCCTAACTTTGAAATGCTTGGTAATGCAATGGTTTTAGCAGAGCTTGTGTATACAGTCTGCTAGACATCAAGGGGGTAAACAAAAAAACAGTTATTTTACATGTGGCACCTACATGTATTGGCAACAGTGTTAGCACCTCTAGATCTGCTGCTTTAGGGCTCTGTCCCTTAAGGTAATGGTGTAATTGAAAGAAGTAGCACTGTCAGCTTCTGGCCAGGGGAACATGGGACACCTTCCTGCTGGGAAGCACAGAAATTAGTGATTTAGTTTGAATCTATCGTGTGTTCATGAAACAAATGTCACATTTGTCCAGATTTACCGTGCTTTGGTTTGCATCATGGAGTAGTCTCGGAGCGTATTGAACTCCTTCCAACTGAAACTAAGGCAAAGATGCTCTTCAGGATCACACTTAGTGAGCTCCAGTCACTAATGGACGTTCAGTCCATGGGACCAGACAAGTATTGGCTAAAGTAGTAACCCTCTGAGATACCTATACTGGGAACATCAGGTCCTCAACACTTGCTATTTACCTCTACAAATTCTCTTCTATTGTGGTGCTCCTGCTTTTAAGGCAGACATAGCCAAATGCACCTGCAGGAACAGGAACGATAAGATTTTTGAAATTTAGGTTCCATTCCAAGCAGAAAAGAGCAGAATATTTACCAACTACTGGCCTTGCTGTCTGGTTGTCCAGTCTTTCCAAGTATGACTTCTTCTGTCTTTGTGGCCTCAGGACTGCCCAACCCACCTTCAGCTCATTGTTTCAGCTCTATTCTTGTTACCTAGTCATCTCCAATTTCTACTACTTCTGCTTCTTATTCTAGTCCCACATTCTTGCCTTGCTGAGTTCAAATTTTAGTCTTCTGGTTTCTCCACCCCATTCTGACTCAATTCCAACCCTAGCTCCTTTTGCCCCCAGCAATCCTCCACTTTTTTATCAGTCTAGAATCTCCTCAAATTTCTATCTGTTGTTCTTAGTGTCAGGGTGGGGTTCAGTTCAGCATAGAAACATCTAAATACAGGTAACTGTATTGTGGTGTTTACATGTGTACCAGGCATCCAAATTCCCACCACAGAGTTGGGAAAGACACACTCAGCAAAGCCACAGGCTTAGAAAGCTGTTCAGCTGCAACAGCAGGTGCCTACTGTAAGGTGGGTGAAGCTGCACTTCAGGCTCTGCTAAGAACTCAGTTGCCTAAGTGTAGGTACTTACTGACATTTGAGATGCTCTAGATATCTGAGGCATATGCATGAGACTGGCAAGTATGACAGATATTATAGGAGCTTTCTGGCAAAACAGCTGGAGGGCAGATGGGGATATTCCACAGTGCCCAAAATTAAACCAGATGTCCCTATTTAAGGGCCAAATTCCACCCTGACTTCTTAAATAGATTTCCATTGACTCTAATGGGGTCATCTGCATCTTTAATGCCACTGCACCTGTAGATTCCTACAAGTAAACTCATAAAACACGATTCAGGTCCCAATAGATAAATATCTGGTAGTGTTAGGTTAATGGTTGGACTCAGTGATCTTAAGGTTCTTCTCCAACCTGCCTGATTCTATGATCTCATGCAACTTAAGCCTGATATGCTAGCATTATCTTGTTTGGTGTCCACTGCTGCTACAGGCAGCTCATGTACCTCACAGGCCAGCCTTGCTTGGGTAGCTCTAATCCACCACCTCATACAGCACCAGAAGCCTACCTTTG